TTTTTTTTTTTTTTTTTTTTTTTTTTTTTTTGCTCTCAGCACGTTCTTTTCTGTGTTCGATAATTTTCGTCATAGTTCATTAGTTAGCTTTTTCCTTTTCTTGCTTTCTTCTTTTCTAGCATATATAGATGTGTTGATTACACTGGTACTTTGAGGTGTAGACGATTATTCTTTTTTTTCGTCAGTCCAACAGTTTTTACCGAAGTTAAAAGAAAGAAACGTAAAGGTGCATAGTGAATGTTTAATTTCAAACGGTATAATAAATAAGGGTAGTTTTGCTTATGCAAATTGCTGTACTTATTTTAAATGGTCAGATAAATTTGCTTGGATTACTTTTTGCATCTGCTTACAACAACAGCAAAGATACAGTTGGCGAAGATGATGGAAATAGTCAAACGGTGCTGAATTCATCAAAGTTGCGTTTGAGAAGCGAGTGAGAAAACGTTCGAAATTATATGTGTAATAATATCACCAATAAATGAATTGTTTAGGTATTCATGTTTTTTTTCTGAATGGTAATCTTCATTTAATTATATCTTTTTAATGCTTTATTTTATATGGAAACTGATCAGAGGAAGGCAGAAAGAAATATGAATTTTATAAACTATAACAGCAAAGCAAAACCGTACAAGTAATTTTAAGAGCGGCTTCAGTTAATTTGTATTTTCAAATCGTTATCAGCTACAACTCCAGGCGAAAACAGTATAAAAAGGTTTATGACTTTAGTGTGAAAAGACTGACGTGTCCTGTAAAGTTCGTTCAACCCAGCGTGCTAATCAAACGTATGTCGTTATTCGTTTTTTATGTCATTGGTGACAGCAAAAACTGAACACCGATTATGAAGACATTGACCGGACCCGTATTACATCAGCGCTAATGACAATTTGTAAATCTGGTTTTTTTTCCTTCTTGTAGCAAAGATATAAAGGACGGATAATTTTAACATCGGCGAGTATATTCTATATTCAACTAAAAATATAAACTTAGGAGATTTTAGATTTGCCAACATAAGCTATTTTTTTGTGTTGGCCTAACACTGAAATTCTGTAGAAATAAGAACGTCACTTTTACTTGAAATATCAAGAAACTTTTGCAAAAAACAGTCAGTTTTTTTGTGAACTATAAGCGGCTTTCAAGGGTGAAATGAGGAGGTTTGATACTTGGGGTACTTTTTAAATCTGGAATTTCTAATGTCAACTATCATTCCAGTTGCTTTTTTAACATTGTTTTTTACTGTAATCAAAGATTTCTCTTGTTAATCTGCTGTCAAAAAAGCATGCTTTTAAAAAACTTTGTTTAGTCTGTATATCTTATTCTTTTTCAAGCACTTTTTGACTAGTTTTTTTTAGACCTGATGTAACAGTGTTTTACAGATGATATACTGAATCTGTTCTGCAAGTTGTGAACATATTCTTTCAGTACAGAAACGAAATATTCAAAGAAGTATAAATTTAGAACTTTTTGTGCCAGTATTTTCTAAAAAACAATAAAGGTTGGAAATAATTGATTTTACTAAGAAGATCTGTATTATTAGCGGACAATACTGTCGCTGTCACAAGAAGCACCAAATGTTGACTTGGTGAATTGAAATGACGTTACACAACTGATGTATCCAGAACTTCAAAAAGATGGGGGAGTATGAATGCTTCAAAAATCAGAATATATATATATTGTATATGCAGATAGATAGATATTGTATAGTTGTTGTGGTTGGCTAACTTTTATAAAAATTCTGCGCTCGAGCAACCTCGAAGTTGGTTGTTGTTCGGCCGTCCACAGTTTACGTTTCTAAATGGATTTCTATAGCCTGCAAAAACAATTGTTTCTTCTTTTTACACTTCTGTAAGTGTTCTTCATGAGAAAGTGCATCTGATTACGGGCAAAATTCATAACTCAGAAAAGAAACGCGTTTTTTTTTTTTTTTTTTGATTTTCTAAACAACGATTAAAGAATGAAATAGAAATTTGAATTTCTTAGCTATGGAAAAAGGTAGAAGTGCAATCTGAGTTGTCATAGCTGACAACGGCGTTGTTGTTGTTTTTGTTACTGATTTTTCATAGATTTGTTTATTTATTTGATAACTAAGATGGAGTTAGTTTTTTTTTTTTTGCATGTATTTTGTTTTATTATTTTAAACTTCTTCTTAGCTAACCAATCAAAAATAAAACTGCTTTTCAATGAAAGGTTAAGTTTAGAAATTATTGCGCCAGCATTAAGGAAGAAGTGATTGACTGCAAAAATTTTGTACCATTCAATGAGGAGGATGCAAATTGTCGCAATCTATATTACCATCAAGGTCTTCCGTACAGTGTTATAGTTAAGAACTGTGATGGAAAATGGTATTTTGTGTCATTTTCATCTTCTAAAACATATATGTAAGTGTTAAGTGACGGTTTGTTTTTTGTTATTATCATTATTTTTTGCTTCTTAACAACGCTGAATTTGTGTATTTGTCAAATATTGGTAAGTGAGGAAGAAAAAGGCAGAAAAAAAAAGGAAAGAAAATCTTGAGGACGTAATAGACAGACTGGAAAGAATAAGCGGTAAAATTATTACAGGCAATAGGTAAGAACAATAAATTTTTTTGTTAGACGGTCAAAAAAATAAGTTTTTTTGGTTCTTTGTCAGAAAAAAGTTACCATTTTTATCTTTAGTTCCTCCTACTCTTTGTAAAAATCATCAAATAAATTTACTGCTGCAGTGAGCATAATCTGTAAGCCAATTTAGAGGGCAAACAACGGAAGGGAAAAAGAAAGGAAGGGATGTTTGGAACAGAACTTAATGCTTAAAACTTGTTTAGGGATGCTGCTTAAGCGAATAATATTGATGCATACATAAAGTATTGGTAATAACGGCATGCTTTAATATCATTTTTTTTAGCGAGAAAGAGCTGGAATCGTCACGTCCAATGTTCCCACGATATTATCAAAGGGGTCAAGCATTAACGGTGCTAAATCCGGTCAGTGGTGAACGTTATTTCTTTTATTCCAGTGATAATGGCACTTCGTATTGCTTTCAGCTCGGTAAACTGTATATTCCGTCTTTGATTTTGTTTTGTTTCTTCTTTATTTATCTGCTTTTATTTTCTTTATTTATTTTTTTTTTTTTGAACAGAATCACATTTACGTCGAGAAAAAAAAAGTACAAAAAAAGTGTTTTCTTTTACAATATTATAGCCTTTAGCATTTTGTATCAAACGATAATCAAAAATTTAAATGCGACAAATGTACACTTCAAAATGGACTTCAGAAAGAAGAAATTCTGTTTTTTTTTTTGATTATAGAAGATACAAGAATAACACCAAAATATAATCATCAAAAGTATACATGAGAGTTTTTTTGTTGTCAACCACAATAAACAAACTTTTTAAGAACCGCAGCCATGTGAAACTTTATGCCAACCAAATGGTCGATGTGTACGCCTTAATCCCGAAACCAGAATTGAGAGATTCGACTGTCTGTGCAAATTTGGAACCTACGGAATTTCATGTGAGAAAGGTATCAGATTTTAGCTGCAAAAAAAAGGTGTACATCTGTATTAAAAACTGTCAATTGATAAGTTTTAGACTTTAAAGTTTGTATAAAACTAGTTTGAACTCTTTCCTTTTTCACTTTTGCAATTTTCTTACTTCTGCATCTGTCTGGACAAAATCAGATACTCATATAAAGTGTTAGTTGACAGGTTAAGTGTAAACAGTACGAATTGTTTAGTCTATCTGAAAAAACGTAAAAAAAAAGAAGGAGAAAAAATCTTTTATGACCAATTTGAGTGAAATTTTTGAATTATCATTTTGTTAAAAGCAGAGACACGTTAACAAATTCTCTCCAAGCTGCTGTCAGTTTAACAAAAGTATCGGAAACTTTTTTGATATAATGATTCTTCAATATTATTAGTTTTTTAACCCAAATTTCTTGATTTCTTTTAGCGGTTTCAGTTTCTGTTTGAAAAAAATGAGTTGAATAAAAAATCGTAAGATTTGTGTATCTAATGCTGAATTTCTGTTGACAGCAGTTTTATCTGGTAATTATTTTAAAAGCATATTATCCAAAATTTTTTAAATACTGAAACGATATAACGTGTAGCCAATCATAGCCAAAAAAACTTTTCAAATCTAACTTTATCGCTGTTATCACTAAATCCTGAGATTGCAACGTTATGATTAGGTCATACTTTTTCATCTAATCAACATATTTATAGAATACCCAAAACGTCTTGAGATAATAGCCATTGGTTGGGCAGTAGCAATTACGGTCTTTATTATGGGATTATTGCCAACCATCTATCACGGGTAATTATTCTTCAACAAATTATTGACTTTAATTAATTTTGTAAAACTATTTTTAAATGTTAGTTCAGTGGTCGACAAAACTACCTAATTTTCAAAATTCAATTTCACTCACATTTGTTTTCTAAGTTTTCAGCTGATAATAAAAATTATAATTTTTAATAAGTTTATTAAACTTAATAGTCTTGTAAAAAAAATAGAGAGACTACAACGTTTTTCTAGGCGACAAAGAATTTATTGGGGATCATCGGATCGTCGTCGATTTGTCGATGTACGCCGTGATTCAAGACTGCTAAGGACACCAGCACAGACACAGTTAATTAGACCTAATATTGCAATATAGCATCAAATTTTGTTGTTAAACCTTAGCCTGATCAGTCTGTGTAAATATTGGCTTTTTTTTTTCTTTGGTTTGACACTGACCGGTTGACAGACTCCAACCAATGTCAACTGTTGTTTGCCTACGTGACACTTGATCAAAACCAATGTTCCAGAAGTCGTTGTTGCCATTGTTTTTCTGTTTTTTTTTTATTTTGTTTTTCTGTCTTTCCTTCTTTAATTGTTGCTTCTCTTCTTTACTCAGTCTTTAACAATTTTCAGTAATGAGATTGAAGACTTTACGGTGACATGTTATTTTTCTGTAACAGATGTTGTTACAGCATTCTACAATCTGTAACTGTTGAGCACAAACAATTCAGGTACAATTCAAGTATTACAGTTGTAACTTTAAAGCTTTTCGCCAAATGATACTGAGAGTGTGAGTCTTTTTTATTTAACCGGGTAGTTTGATGATCATTAACACCCAAGAAACAGCTTTATTAGTCTAAAAGATGTCAACAAAAATAATTGGAAAAGCAATTGAAGTGCTGAGTAATTAAATCGTTTGTTTATTTGAAGATAATTAGTTGTTAGTTTTTTACATAACTAACGCTAACTAATAAAAACAACGGTGAACAGTACACTTAAAACAACATCAACAACAACAACAAAAAAAAAGCTGAACAACTATTTTGCTTTACACTATCACTTCGTTCAACTCATTTACTGTTTTTGAAATTTTTAAATTTTTTTTTTGATGATTGCTCAAGAACTCGTTTTTGATAGTTTAATTGCTTTTTCCAACAAAATAACATTTTTTTTTCAAGCCGTTAGAAGTTTTTCACCTTCTGCTTACTGTTTCTTCAGTCATTTACCGATTGTTAATCAGTTATTATTGATATGTTCATCAAGTACTCTTTCTTCAGCCAACTGCCACTTCATCAATTCATCTGTTGTATCGGTTTAGCAGTATTCTAGTATCTTCATTATTCAAAAAAAGCTTTGTTTATTCTTAAAGAACATCTTATTCAACCTCATGGCAAAATAAACACTTCTTATGGTATGTACAGAGTTTAAAGACAGTAAATCTGTTATTATTGAATGTTGCATATTTAACTCGCCAGTGATTTTAACTATATATCATACAGACGGCAGTCAAAACAGTCTTATAACAAAACTTTTTTTTTAATGTTTGTTCTATCTTAATGACATTTCTCAGGAAATAAATGTTAGTTTTCAATGAACTTCTGCAGAGTTTTCTGTTCAAAAACCATCAGGAATGCTAAATGTCCACAGATCACTGATTTCCTTCAAGTGATTAAAATTCTCAGCAGATCTTCAACAAACGTTATGAGAGACTTTTTTTTATCAGCTAAATAAATTGTATTGGTAAGTTAAACACTATTTACAGAAGACACTTTTCCAGGCGTATTTTAGTTTATTTTGGTCATCCTAACACATATGTTTTCTTGTGCAATCGACAAAATGTTTTTTTTTCTGTTGCTGAGAACAGTTAATTTGTATTTTTTATACATAATTTTTCTCCTGATTATCTTTTAACAACAACAACAATTTATTTTTATAAATAAAAAATAGTTTTCATCTGGAGCGCCTACTCGTCAGTTGTCATAGTTGAGAAATAGAAAGGAAAAAAAAGGGCTGTAATTCTGGACTTGTTTTGGAATAGGAATTTTTTTAATGACATGTGGTTTATCGCTGTTTTCATTTGGCGTCTTTTCGGGTTACACGTTTCTTAACTGTCAACCAACAACGGTAGTACTGTGAAGTTTGCTAGGTTAGCGGAAAAAAGTCTCGAAACAGCATGTACCAACTACTGGTGACAGTATCTCGTGGTTTCTTCTCACATTTAACTTCAAAACAATTCGTCTTCAGCAAACCTCACAACAAAGGTTAAGCAATTGCTATTAGCAGATAACGATTCTATTGTAACGGCTGAAATCAAGAGACATACTCAAAAGATGCCAAATCCCTAGTTTTAGCAACTGTTATGAAGCACTGAAGACCAAAGTTTGCGATTATAAAGTCTTTTATTGAAATTCTACGCTGAAAACGCCTTTTATGCTTGTCATTGTTATCTATTTAAATTTTTTATGACCTCTTTAGTCCAAATAATTTGTTGTAATTTGAGCTTTTGTGCAAAGACTAACTGTATGCCTTAATAAATCTTTTAATCATACAAATTTTGTTGCCAAAAATAAGTTTTTTCGCTTGACAAAAGTTTCTTTTACCCTTTTTTTCTTCCCCCTAAACCAATACTGTAAAGAGGATAAAATTTTTGTTTGATAAGAAAGAAAATGGCAATAAAAATAAACTGACTGACACGTTTACCTATAACCCTTCGTTATGTTTTCACTAAAATAAGCGATGCGTTCATCGTTACAAGAAGAAAAAATTAGAACGTTGATGACAAAAACAGGAAGAAGAAAAAAAAAATAATTGTCATGAGAAAAAAACGGCGAATACGAAGACGAAGAAAATGACGATGATGACGATGATGATGACGATGACGACGACGACAACGACAACGAAGGAGAAAAACAGTCGTTCACATGGCATATGATTTCTTACCTTTTTTTTTTTTCAAACAAGAATCTAAATATAGACCACTTTTAAGACAGTTTATTAAGAGATAAAATTACAAAAACATTTTAACAACTATTTGACATTTTGTAAAAACGAAAAATTTTTTTTGAAAAAAAAAAGTTGACAGTTTACTGCTTGGCGTCTGATACACTGATAATTATTGTCTGTTAAATTCTACTTCTCAATACCGTTTCTACACACCTAATTTATAACAATCAAACATTTGTAGTTATATAATAAGTTGAAAATAACAAAAGGAAATATCTATTCCAACTAAAATAATTCAAAATTATATTTATTACATTATATGTTCGTTACTGTCACCAACAAACTGTTACTCGTCGAAGGAAACGCACTCAAAACTACGAATTAGGAAAATACAGATATGAATAACTGAAGGTACCCAAAAATTGAAGCATTTTATTCAGTAACAACCTTTAAATTTTTACCAAATAAAAATTGTCTTCAATTTTTTTTTCTTTACAACAGAACTCAAATACCAAATTTCATTTTTGCAGAATACGTCATATTAATGTTACAGTCGGCTTATTTTAGAAGACTGAAAAAGTTGTATCATTAAGGTAAACAGTTGGCTGACGATCTGAAAAGCTGAAGAAGTTTCAGAATATTTTAAATTATTCTTTTCTTGGGACTCTCTATATACAAATTCTTTTATAATATCTTCAACTGCTTTTTTTCTTCGTTATTCCTTGGCAGTTAAACATATTCTGACTTTCATAGAAATGGCTAACACTTAAACAGCACCAGCATTTATTCATCATTAAGTTATGAAATAAGGATGCAATGTTGTCGAACAATTGTTGTCAAAAAACTTCAGTAACAACATCGCCAACAACAACAAATCCAACTTGAAACAATGCCACTGGCAGAAAACAAAAACAACATTAACAGTAATGGTGGTATTGCAATAAGCACAACACAACTGCTGCATTGATACAATAAACAGAAATTCTACAGAAGTAAAGTATCAATTCAGAAAAAAAACTACTGTTAACAGATCAAAAAAACCTATCTGTTAGGTTAATGACTTGGTGTTTTTTCTACCATTCGTCCTCTTCGCTCTTTCTTAATTATTTTTACAAATAAATAAAATGCCATAAACTGAAACGTTAAAAAAATTTGTTGACATTTTGTTACTGTTCACAACTGCAGGCAGGGTAGTGCTAGATTAATATCCTCATCAGTACAACTGACTGATTATCTAAATGAACATTCAGCCTGATCAGACAGATACAGAAATTCAGTGGACTAAAGATACACAAAAACTTAATACCCTTTAGTTTCTTAGGAATAATTTGTGTTATTTGACGTTTCCCTCAATCAGTTTATCGTTTTTTTTATTTATCACCCTATTTTCTTTCCACTTCTCCTATTGCAATAATTATTCCAAATCCGTTTATTTTTCTCTCTGTGTGCCGTCCTTTTTTTCACCTTCACAATTCCAAAGTACTATTCGTTCTCGTAAATATGTGGCTGGCTTCAAAATAATGTCGAAAAACAGGACATAATCATGCTGCTGTGCTACTAAAAGTAGCCGTAAATTGTTCAATTTTCAAAAAAGAAAAATAACCGTTATTGAACGCAGCAAATGTACATTGGGGTTCTATACCCCCA